TGATAAACCCAAAAACAAAGAATTTTTAATTTGTGAGAAACATTTCGTAGAAAATTATACACGAGATAAAACCGGTAGGTACGTTGTTAAAATGCCATTAAAGGAGGATCCGGACACTTTAGGAAGTTCTAAACAAATTGCAACGAGTAAATTTAAATTCCTTATGGAAACGCTTAGTAAAGAATCCCGAATATTTTAAAATTATATTCAGATTTTTTAAAAGAATATCAACAGTTAGGACATATGGTTGAGGTGAGTGAAAGCGAGGAGGAACGAGGTTCATATTACATTCCTCATATTGGAGTATATATAGGGGAGAAGAGAAAAGTAAGTCGACTCCCTTGAGGGTAGTATTTAACGCTTCTTCTTTGACAACCAAAGGAAACTCTCTAAATTCTATACAGTATAATGGAGGTGTGATACAAGATGATTTATTCTCAATTATGCTGAGATTCAGGAAATATATTTTTTGCTTTCACTGCTGATATACAAAAGATGTATCGAGCTATTTCTATCCATCCAGATCAGTGGAAGTTGCAAAGGATTTTATGGAAAGAAGGCATTGATAAGCCAGTTAAAAACTTTGAGCTAACTACCGTTACCTATGGAACTGTGAGTGCACCATTTTTAGCAATGAGAACACTTGTACAGCTGTCAAAGGACGAAGGAGATAAATTTCCTTTAGCAGCGCCTGTACTGAGAGAAGACATGTACATGGACGATATTCTATCTGGAGCTGAGTCGTTAAGTTCTGCGTTAGAACTTCAAAATCAATTAATAGGCATTTTGAAGAGTGGAGGCATGTTACTCCATAAGTGGTGTAATAATGCTACTGAACTGTGTCAAACAAACGACAAAACATATCCCTTTGGTAAATCAGAAGAATCTAAAGCATTGGGTATTTTATGGAAGTCAAAAGGAAATTGTTTGAGCTTCAACGTTAAAATCGAAGACAACGTAAAGGTTACGAAACGGCAAGTGTTATCCGTCATATCTCGCATCTTTGACCCATTGGGTATAATTTCCTCCAGTTATAATTGTAGCAAAAATATTTATGCAGAAATTATGGCTGTTAAAATTGAACTGGAATGATGTTTTGCCAGAAAAGGAGGCTAAAGAATGGAAAGAATTCTCCACTACCTTGCAGCTAATTAACAACATTGAAGTCCATAGATGTATTTTATTACCAGATAGAATCAAGATTGAATTACATGGTTTCTGTGATGCCTCAGAGGCCGCCTATGGAGCAGTTATCTACTGTAAAGCAACATCAGCAACAAACCATACATCAATGAGGTTGGTGTGCAGTATATCGCGTGTCTCTCCATAAAGAAGACTACAATACCAAGACTTGAGCTTTGCGCAGCAGTGCTATTAGCTAAACTGATGCATCGAGTGAAATCATCGTTGAAAATTGGAGCTTACTGCTATCCACCTTTGGACCGATTCTATGATTGTGCTGTCATGGATCAACAAAGAGCCACACCTGCTCAAGACATTTGTTGCAAACCGGATTTCAAAGATACAGGATCTGACTGAAATAGCACAGTGGCATCATATCGCTTCTGAAGAAAAACCCATCAGATCTCATATCTAGAGGTATGTCTGCCAAAAAACTGCAACTAAGTCAACTGTGGTGGAACGGGCCTGACTGCTTAATGAAGGATGAGTACCCTATAAGAGTTATACCTGAAGCAATTACTGAAAAGGACAGTAATGAACTTAAAAACTTTGCTGATTCTGAACTATCTACATGTTTAAATCTGAATGTGAAAAATTTTGTTAATGATTTATTGAATTGCAGTAATAAGTATTTAAAATTAATTCGTATTATAAGTTTTTGTTTTAGGTTTTTACAAGAATTGTAAGCAAGAACAAAAGCAGGTAGGTAATTTACAAGTGGGAGAATTGAGAGCAGCTGAAGAAATTTTAATAAAATTAGTACAGGGTGAGTATTTTATAAATGAGATAAATGATCTTAAAAAATCAGGTATTGTTCCAAGAAATAGTTCTATTAAAAGTCTTAACCCTTTCATTGACAGTAATGGACTGTTGAGAGTTGGAGGTAGATTAAAAAATAGCAATTTAACTTATGAGAAAAAATTTCCTATTATTCTGCCTTCTAAAAATAAATTAACAGAGTTAATAGTTAATTACTATCATTTAAAATATTTGCATGTGGGTCCTCAATCTTGTGTATATCATATAAGACAAAAATTTTGGATTGTAAGTGGTAGAAATGTTTGTAGAAAAATTGTAAAAAATTGTATAATATGTTTTAAAGCTAATCCCATTGTAGCTCAGCAAATCATGGGTGATTTACCCAAGGAAAGAATCACAGCTAATCTTACATTCAATTGTACTGGAGTTGACCTCTGTGGCCCATTCTTAATTAAGTACAAAAACCAGAGAAAAGGTATATATCAAAAGTTTATGTGTGTATATTCATTTGTATGGTTACTAAGGCCATTCATTTAGAGCTGATAACAGACCTAACATCTGAAGCATTAATAGCTACCTTGAAACGTTTCTTTGCACGAAGAGGTAAAAGTTTAACACTATTTAGTGATAACGCTACGAATTTTGTAGGTGCAAATGCAGAATTAAAGAGGTTAAACAAACTAGTGAACGAACAAGATGAGCTTTTAGCTGGTTATTTGAGTTCTGAGAATATCGAATGGAAATTTCTCCCTCCCAGAGCACCCTAATTTTGGAGGCCCTTTGGGAGGCTGGAGTTAAATCTTTTAAGTACCACTTCAAACGTGTCGTAGGTAATGCAAAATTGACATTTGAACAATTTTTAACAATTATGATTCAGATTGAAGGAATTTTAAATTCCCGACCATTGACACCCTTGTCTTCGGACACGTTGATGATTTAGAAGGTTCTAACACCTGGGCATTTTTTAATTAGTAGAGCAATTAATTCGATCCCTGAGCCAGATATCACGGAAGTTAACATTAACAGGTTAAAATTGTGGCAACAGATCACAAAGATTAGTACAAATTATCTGGAAAAAATGGAACTCCAATTATTTAAGTCATTTACAAAATCGATCTAAATGGCAAAGTTCTAAAAACAATATACAAGTTGGAGACATGGTCTTAATTAAAGATAATTTGCCTTGTTGTAATTGGGCAGTTGGTCGTATAATAGAAGTATTTTATGGTAAAGATGGAAAGGTTCGCGTGTGTAATGTAAAAACTCAAACTGGAACTTTCAAACGACCAATTACCAAATTATGTGTCTTACCAATACAAAAATGAGTATTGTCTTTATAGTTATTGTATAGTATTGAATGTGCTTCACATAAAATGTCATTATGTAACTGAAATGTTATATTGTATTGCTTTGAGTTGTACGCTAATGTATATTGTAAATGTCTAATATAATAATGATTTTTATGTAATAGTACTTATTCAAAATTGTTTATGATATACTTGTTTAATTTTTTTATGCTATATCTTAATTACAATAGTTGAATGCTAAGCATTGCAACGCGGGGCGGCATGTTCGCGCCTGCGCATCTGTAATGTAATCCACGCATGCGCATCTGTAATGTGATGATCAAACGAGTTTGAGAATCGCCATCGACGGTGTAAGAGGGCTGGTCACAGCTATGAGTTAATGAGTGATTGTAATTAATTATGAGAATTAATAAAGAATCGAACCAGCGAATTTATTTAGTGTGTGTTATTTGGAACGAGACCCAAACAGTAACAAAATAAGAACTACTAACTAATTAAATTTAAATAAAAGCTAACTTCGACTACTTTACACAGATGACTAACACTAAGGTTGTCCTTTCAGTTTATTACGCATGTAGAACGCAAACTGTGGAAAACTACAATACGTCTTAGATATCAAGAGGACATTATTCATTTAGTGCAAGTGTAATATTTTTGTGTGTTACACACTTTTTTATTATATGCTTCTGAATTTAATTGTAATAGAAATAATATGTGTTAAATTGCATTTCCTTGTGTATTTCATATGTATGTCTAAATTTGAATTTGATCGTAAATTTTTATGGCATTATTGAAACTTGTTTCAATGAGGGCCGGGATGTTCGGTTTAATATAGCGCCCTCTTGTGAGAGGAGCCAAATTTAGTTAGTTGGTTGTTGAAGACTGTACGCAGCGGACCTATGGTGCGTTTGCTCGTACCACTTTGTCTGTGCTAATAGAGCACTTAACTTGTGACTTTGTACATTATGTAAATAATTAAATATTTGTGTGGCCTAACTTAGATAGTTTTATTTTGGAACCAGCGCCATTATCTCTCGTAATTCATCTCTCGCATTTATTACCAAACAACAATAAAACCAACAACTACAAGAAACAGACACCATTGATAGTAGATTTGTATTAAAAAAATTATATTAATGATTTTGTTTCGCTAAAAGGAAGATTAATCAAACTATAGATGAAGAGACATTAGGTTATTTCGAGGCCGGAGAGATGAAAAATTAGCAACGCCCTAGCCGGAAATCGAACCACGGACCTCTGCAGTACGCGCCCAGCATGCAGACCACTACACCACGAAGGTACGCTAAGAAGGCGGGAGAAATACCTTATATAGTTACACGGTAATTAAACTACAATTACGAGAATTAAATTACAAGGTGCCTGAAAGCATGCATAATATATTTTTTTTAGTATACCTGTGTTATTTTAATTTTGTGTAACTATTTGGTGTATAATTTTATTTCTATATATCTCGTTATTACGATCGAATGATGAATAGACATACATTTTATGTATAAATCAAATAAGAAACTTGGCACGATTCTGGTACTTAATTTGAAGTGAACTCATAAATTAAAAGAGAAATCGTAGTATGTTATTTGCAGTTCTAAGTGTTTAAAACATGTCATTTAGAGCGTTTAATTTTGTTCGTATATTTTATTATTTTTTATTTGTCAAATGCCAGTTACATTGGCCGTCAGGCCATTAAACTTCTTGCTTGCCAATAGCGCTGAAATCTACAAGAAAAATTTGTCATTGCAGTCTAAAAGATGGAACGGCAGCTGTTCGCGGGTGGTCAGAAACAAAAGCTGGGTTTGTTGAGAGAACACTCCAAGGCTTGCCCTCACAAGCCCGAGTGGCAAAATCTCTAAAAGTCTTTTGATATGTTAGCGATATTAGAAGCTTAATAGAATGGGGGCTTGTACTCGTTTTTGGCTTTTGGAGAACCGTAGCCCCCGTTTTCGCAAGCATATCAGCCATCTCCTTCCTATAAATACCGCAGTGTGAAGGTACCCATTGAAAAGATATCTTGTGGGAAAGTTCTTTTAGGACTTCCTGACGTTGTTGAATGCATATGTTCTTGCACTCTTGGTAAAAGGAGATGGCTTGTATGGCTGAAGTCGAATCAGACAGTACAACAGCCCTCCTGAACGAGCTCTGTCTCAATGATAATTGTTGGAGAGCTACATGAATGGCTTTCAGTTCTCCATCAAAGTAAATGGAGTAAGCCCCTACAGGTATGTACAAACTGAAAAGCTTGCTAAAACCTCCAGCTCCAGCCCAGTGGATCTTATCGGTCAAAGAGCCATCCGTATATACATGTATCCATTCCTCAGCCGGGAAACGTTGCTCAATTGTTTCCGAAACTATAGTTCTTATTTGCTCTGGACTCATTTCCTTCTTATCTACTTTCATTTCCAGGTCCGACCGCACATCAAGGAAGCTTAATCCAAAGGATTTAGCAAAAACAGCAATGCCGGTTTCAATGTTCTTATGCGATTGTATTGTTCTAGGCGAGAGACACACTGCAGAAAGCCATTTTGTGTCTTCAGATTTCGTTGGTTATTATAATCACAATTCCTCAAATGAGGGTTACTTTATAGACGAATAAGTCTCTGGAAAAGGATGAAAGCATTTTTCTGAATCAGGTTTGTCATTGGTTGGTTTGCCGATACCAACTGCATTGCCAGAATGGGAGTCGTTTTAACAGCCCCGCTTATAATGCTCATTGCCTGATTTTGGAATACCTCCAGACGTTGTATCACATCTCGCGTAGCCGAGATCAATATCTCAAAGCAATAATTTAGTATTGGTCGATCATACATTTTATACGTCGAGTGAGTGAGTGAGTGAGTGCACCGCTATGATGGCTTCCGACCACGGACATGAACCAAACGGAATTATACACCATCACGGCGGGGAAGACTCCAGAGTAACAAGGTTGAAAATTATATACTAATAACAGTTTTTACATATTGATAACTGCAAGGCACTAAGCGTTATTCTGGTTATCTGCTTTAAGTTCTGAACATTTGAAACATTATAATATTATCCACGGAGAGTCTCTCTACCACAACTCCATTTAACACCTGCTAAGCGTTTAAGGATAGGTAATCTGTGCTCCGCCTTAGCAATTCATGCTCTGCATGCTTTCTCCAGGTTAAGCGCTTGTCAAAAATACAGCCAAGATAGGTGGCGCCCTCCTTCTGCTGCAAAACTGAATTCTCATACATTAGTCTCATACATTCTCATACATTAGAGCAAAGTGTTGTCTGTTGAGAGAGAAAAACTGACAAGTAGTCTTTCCCTGATTTACTCTCAAATTACTAGCAGAACACCACTCTTCAAGTCTCTGGAGCGCAGAGTTTAAGATTCGGTTTAAACCATCTTGATCTTTTTTGTTAGCTCTAGCCCATACGACCAGATCATCGGCAAAAAGGGCAGTGTTCACGATCCCATACGATTATAAGATGTCTGGTAGATCATTAATAAAAATGTTAAAGAGAATAGGGCTAATAACTGTGCCCTGAGGCAAACCCGTTTCAACTTGTTTATATTTTGAAGGGCTGGTGTCATAACGAGTAGCACAAAAACATTGGGTCAAGAAATGGTTTCACCCAAAGGAACATTTTTCCGCCAACAACGAATGTCTGAAGTTTTTGAACAGCCTTCAACCTCCAAATGTTATCATAAGTTGCTTGGAAATCTACGCAAACAGCCAGTACCGAATTTCGTTCATCAAGTGCATCTTTAATTGACTGGCTTAAGAATACGACTTGTAGAATGGTAATTTCTAAATCTCGCTTTTTGGAAGATATTAAGCCGTATGTTTCCAAGTACCACTTAAGACGAGAAACTATCATCTCCATTATCTTTGATAACACACTAGTTAAAGCAATTGGTCTGTCCAAATCCTGCTGTTGTTTGTCTTTTTTAAGAATTGGGATCAAGATGGCATTTTCCAGGCAGCAGGAACAGTCAAGTTCCAACTCTTATTATAGAGCTTCAGGAGGACATTCAGGGTGTTTTCGCCAAAATTCTTTAAAGATTCAACATGGATATTGTCTAAGCCTGGACGTTTTTTACATTTCATTTGTCCAATAGCTCCCCGAAATTCAGAAATAGTAAAATCTCTATTAAAAACCGAAGGTTTCTGAGGGCTAGAAGAAAATTTTTCAATAATTGTTTTCCTAAGGATCTTTTGGCTCTTCTTTAGATCGCTTTTTAAACGCTGTCTTTTGCAATAAAAGGAGTTAAAAGCATCCGCAATGACTAGATCATCCGTCAGTAATTTTGAACCTACTCTCATGGGTTCTCTTTCATGAACACTCTCTTCCTTTTTCACTCCATTCACAAAATTATAAACCTTTTTTCCGTCTTTTCTATAATCGATATTAGTAATGAAATCATTAAAGAATTTTTCTTTGCCGTAATAATTTCTTTCCTAAGGATGGCTACACTTCTTCTCCATCTTTGGACGTCCTTAGGATTTTTTGTTTGTTCAGCTACGTTTCGGGATTCAATGGATATACCCTTTAATTCAGTTAATCTATCATTCCAGAAAGCGTTGAACCTTAGTTGTTTACCTCTTGGCATCCACGTCTTTGCGGCTGTCAAAATTAATTCAGAAAAATAGGAGAATGCCTTGTCGATGCTCCGTCTCAGGGTTTGAAAACTTAGGTGGCTGAGAAAAGATAGTCTCAAGTTCCCAGCAAAAGTTTTCTCACTTTGCCTTCTTAAAATTTCACCTGTTTCTCACTTTATTTACTAAAGGGTAAGAGGACTGTAATCCAAAACTGGAGTGATCATACAATGTCTAGAAACAGGATCATAAATGATTTCTTTTCTTGCAGCCCCAGCTAAATCAACAGTGGCTAAAATCAGATCAGGATTTGTACCATTTCCATTATAATGAATATAAGAAGAAATATCCGTGTTCTGGTAGATTAGTTCCAGTCTGATTTAGTTAATTAGGTCCTCCATTATCCCCCCCCGGAATGGTTAGAATCGTTATAATTCCAGCGGGAGCTATGAGCAATAAAATCTACACAGAGGACAGTTTTATTGAGGAAAGAAAAATCCTGGAAACTTAATTTATTATTGTTCGGTGGGCTATAATAAGAATAAATAGTGGAATGTGTTTTTTGTTTCCAAACGTCGATTTTGACCACCTCAGCACCAATATGAGAGGATAAGTCACTGATAATATTGAATTTGGACATCAAGTTCTTTTTAATACCAACCAAGATTCCACTAGCGATTCTTCTTGATTTAGGCAATAGCTGTAGATAGTAGTTGTCAAACGAATAGTATTTCATATCGTTCCTAGAAAAATTTGCCTCAAAAATAAGAAATACATCTATTTGTCGATCATTTAATTCGGTCATAAGCTGTGATTTCTTTTTTTGGGAAAAACCACCCGCATTCCATTGGACAATCACTAAGCACTGTTTGCCCGCCCTGAAAAGGACTGTTTGGAGGATATCTAGGAGCCATCAACAAGGGGCAAAGTTGTAGCAGATTTAGCGTAGCCCAGGGTGCTCCACGAGGAGGCCTGCCATACTACACCTACTTTTATTCATATATTTAATCTGTTCATCTTCTGCATTTCAGTTAAACCAAATCCAAAAATCATTCCTAATATTTAACTGAAAATTAAATTTATCAATATGAGTGATTCTTACAGTTTAATATAATACGTATAGCATTGGTTTAGTTTAAACGGCCTATACCTTTTCAAATTGTTGCCAACAAATATTATCGCTTTGTATTATTTTTAAAGGAATTAAAGAAGGAAGATTTCTCAATTATGAATGTGTGTTTGTCGCCTTTTGAAAAAACGACCGACGATACCTAATTAAATTAAGCCATTAAATTCAGAATAACGTACCTGAATATGTGCACCTGGAAGCCCGAATTTTGAATTTCCAATTTGTCTTATTATTTATTTCATATTTTTTTAATTTAATCAATTTTTGATTAACAAATTTAACGATATGAAAGAGAGCAGTGGTAATACTGTTCGAAATAAAACTTTCTTTATCTCAGACTGCTGCCAATCGAAAAAATGTAAGATATTTATTTACCTTTCAAATTTAATTAACAAACTCGACTCTATGAAAGCAATATGTTGTCACTGCCAAGACTAATTTTTTTTTATCTTCCACTCGCCACTGCATTGCTCTTCAGAAAAGCCATAAACACTTTCATATTTAATCTGGAAGGTTACTGAATAATTAAATAAGTGATTTAAAATCAATAAGCGCAGTTCTTGAGAATACTTTTCCCCTACGTTTTAATGCTATTGATTTATATAAACATGTTTTAAAATCATGACATGTTTAATTAGAACTATTGAGTATTTTTCTGAAATTAAATTAGCTGGATTTATTAAAATTGTTATAAACGTTTTCTTTTTTAAGATAACTATTAGGCGGCTGACTGCATGTAAGAAATGAAAAAGCGAATATAAAAGTATGCATGGCAAAGTAAGTCAGATAAAAGTATGCATGGCAAAGTAAGTCAGATGAATGTGATATCTACTTAATTAATAGATTTAACACATAAAAAGTTAATAATGAAAAGACACATACACACGCATACACACACACACGAAAAAAAAAAGTTAGCCATCTTGTTTAGAAAACTGAATATTGATATAATGAACTGGGAAAAAAACTGAAACTAATGTAAAAATGTACTCCAACACGCTGCATCGGGGGTTCTAAACATTCAGCTTTTAAAAAATTTGTGATTTTGTTGTTGAACTGTATGTGGCGTAAATGCGAAGAAAACGATACTTAATAATAGAGCTAAAAAGACAAAAAAAAGTCTGCTTAGCAGGAGTGCGACAACAGATCGGTAGACTGCGCGCTCAGCGCGAGAGCGTAAAAAACCTTAACAAATCCTTCTGGATGTCCGTTAAAATCTAAAACCTTTAATTTTTTTGGAGTATCTAACTTTTGATTAAGAGGAGGGCTCAAGAAAAGTTTTTGCATAGGGGCTCAAGAGTTCTAGTTACGCTACTCCCACTAATGCATACTTTTGAGAAGTAATATGAATGAAGGTGTTACTTAGATAATGTGTAAGTAATGAATTGAGCTTCAATTTGAATGTCCTTGATACTGAAAGATGCTAAGCCAAGGTAAAAGTAGCATTTTCATTGGGACCGGAATGAGTGAATGTGATAACGATACGGAAATTTATTTCTTTAGTCGAATATGGAAAAGGACGTGACTTTTTGATTAGTGCAGGGTTTCCTAAACTTTTTGGGGCGTGGGGAATCCCTAATATTAAGAACATTTTGCGGGATTCCATAAGCATTGCGCAAATCCGACAAACGCGTGAGTGAAACTATTAGTTTCTTCACTTGTACTGTAGTATACTATTGCAGTTTTATGTCATTGACTTTAATT